CGCCCCTCACTGGCAGAGACTCTGCCGCCCGGGGCTGGCGCCGCCGAGGCCAGGTCCCCTCGGTCCTCGCCACTGCGCTCGCTTGGCCTCCTGGAAAGCATTTCCTGACTTCGTGGTTTGATCGTCTCGCCGTCGAGTTTGCCTGGTTTTCGATCCCTCCAGGCTTTTCGGCCAGCACACTTCCAGTCCCGGGAGTTCCACTTCTTGATTTTGGAAAATGCAGCGGCGCTGTATCGCAGACCGGCACTCCAGCAGCTGGGACATCAGGACGTCCCCAGAGTCCTCCGCAGTCTTTGCTTCTTCTAGCTCCTTGGCTGCTCTCCCACCCGGACGCCTCCCAAGTGTGTGGCCTTCAGCTGGCCACGCGTGTTTGCTGGGTGGGGCAGCGTGGGCCCGGGAGCCCGACACCGCCGGCCTGGGCCGCTGACCCTCGCTCGGGCCTTCGGTGTCCCTCCGGCAGACCCTCACCGCCCGCGTGGGGCCGGCGCAGGCCGGGCGGGCGTCTCCTTGGCGGCTCCCCGCGGACTCGCCTCGGCCTTCAGCCAGAGGGACCGGGCAGCCCCGTCTCTGGCCCACAGTCTCACCCCCTCCACAGCGCTGTCACGGCGCCCACTCTGAGGGCCTCTGCCCGCCCCCACACACTCGGCCTCAGCCCTCCCACCCCAACTGCTCCGGCCGCGGTGACGTCACGCGAGTCGCTGCCTCCGGCATCTGCTCTGGTCCCCTGCCGGGTCACTCCATCGCCTCTGCACTGCGTTCCTGAGGCTCCGCGGCCACGCCGCACCCCTGTCCGCTCTCCCTCCCTAGTGGACCCGTCCTTTCAAAAGGTCAGAAAAAGCCAGGCCCTCCCGGTGGCCGGCGGGTCAGAGCGCAGCACTGCCAGCTGCCACAGCCGCTTCAGCACTGGCTCGAGCCGCCCCAGGGGTGACCCCCAGGGCGCGGCACACCCCTGCTGACCCGCCCCCCCAGCAGTGTACCTCCTCCATCTGCCTGTCCCGCTCCCACTCTGTGAGTCCT